TTTTTTCGGAATTTGTTTCCACCATCCAAGGGAAGACGCGCTCCCTGGCAGAATTCGCCTTTGCTGGTCACGATAGTAATTTTTTTTTTTTGTTACTTTAGGAAATTCATCGTCTATGGAGATAAATTTTCCCTCTATTTCTCTTTTCTTTAAATAGCTATTTTTCGGAATTTGTTTCCAGCCTCCTGGGGGGAAGGGGAGAGACGAGTGCCCCCCGGCTGGATTCGCTAGTGTGAAACTTTATCGGTTTTATTAAATTCTGTAGAGTATTTCAAGGGCCAGAGCATTGCTACAATAATCAATTAAATATCTGTTTAAAATACAACATAAAACTCATGTTTTATATTTTGGTATCTTAAAAAAATAATGCAAAAATAGTATTAGTATTTTCTTTTGAAAGATACATTTTTATTACAATGTATAACAATAAACACATTTTTACCTTCACTTACCTGTTAACACACACATACGCAGATACACACACTTTCCTTTACCATATAGTTCATATATAGGTAAGTGAAAGTAAAAATGTGTGTATTGTTATACATTGTAATAAAAATGTATCTTTGAAAAGAAAATACAAATACTATTTTTCAAATTTTTAGTTTAAACAAGTTTCTAGCTCAAAAACGAAAAGTAGTACGAAGTGAAATTGCATATTTAAGGTTTTTATATGGTAGGGAGGGAGTGGGGTAGCTCAGTGGTAGGGCACTGAACTTCCAATGCAAAGGATCCAGGTTCGAACCCCGGCTCATGGCAGATAATTTATTTATCTGTTTCATTGGCCGTGGGGCGACCCTGGGTCGGGAGACTCTGCTGGGGCAAACCCAGCCTCTATAAAGTGGGTACCCTTAATTAAATAATTAATTAAGGGGGAAAACCTGGCGGTTGAGCGTGATCTCGGTCAAATCACCTCCTTGCACAGGCGTTGACCTAGAAACGGTGCTCTCCCTAAATAGTACTGAACCCCAGACCCTTCATGGGTTGCAGTGGTACAGGTTCAAGTATATCGTAGGGATGTTAAAGCAACTTTTTAGTCTAAATCGACTAACCTAAAGTGCGTGAAAATACCTTTTTCCGCTAAAAAGAGAGTGGTGAGTGAAAGTTGTGTGATGATCGCTCCGCACCAGATTTTTTTAGGATGTGACTGTACGTGCTGCTCGAACGTTTTAAATCGTAAACTTCAACATTCTCGATTCCAGCGTCGTCAATTTTACTTTCCTACGACTTTTAGTTTGTGTGGTTAATTGATAAAATACAGACCATTTTGCGGGACTTGGTTATTTGGACCCAGGGGACCTCAGAACGTTTATTTTCGTTAAAAACTCAGATCCGAAAATATTCACCAAAGTAATTTTATATTACATATATAGGTAAGTGAAAGTAAAAATGCAAAGTACAAAAAAATTATTTTCGAATGTCCTATTTGAAATGCTGCCCAAGTCTGTTAAAAAATAGATATTTAATTTGGACTATTGTTTTCATAAGGGAAGTTTTCCCCTCTTGCGGTTTCGGCAGAAGCGGAGTGGGCACTTGGCCGAGGAGAAGAGTTCGGGCTGATGATCCATCATCATGAGGAGGGCAGATGAGCAGCAGTTGTGACAGCGGCGATGGAGTCGTCGCCGCAGCTTGTGCCATTGTGCCACTCCATCAAATCATTTTGTGCCATTGTGCCACTCCATCAAATCATCATGTGCCATAAATCACTTGGGTGCTGACTAGCCTAATGCCAGCTCTCCAAGAATTTTCGCATAGTCATCTGCTACAGCTGTTCTCATTGATAGCTCATGCTCAGTCTAAATTGTAGAATATAAACCCTTTATAGACAAAGTCTAAAATACACCCTGGAATATATATATTAAACACATTCTGTAATAAGTTAACCTTCAGGTAAGTGGTACAGACCACTTTTTATCAAACTATTAACATCCGGCTGAAACTTCGTAAATAGCTTCTTCTCATCGTAACATGCAAATATTTTATTTACAAAAATTCTCGGAATTGGATCGGATTTCAATCTGGAGGTAAGAAAACTTTTTCTATTTAATTAGGTACTAAAAACTCGTAAATACCGACTTCCTTTCACATCACACACTTCAATCGTGAGATATCTTAAGCACAAAGTCGAGAAAAAAACGTGTCCTTCAAAAACATTGAGCCATTTGGCGTGGCCCTACATCTCCTAATTGTCAAAATAACCAGGTTATATCGGTTTTCAATCTGTAGATCGGCAAACATTGTCAATTTAATTAGGTACTAAAAACTCGTAAATACCCGTTTCCTTTCCAATTGAGCTCCGATTTCCATGAAACAACTAGAGCACAAAGTCGAGATAAAAGGCGGCCTTCAAAAATATTGGCCTATATAACATCGTTATTTTGACAATTTGGGGATGTAAGGCCACGCCAAATGGCTCAATGTTTTTGAAGGACACGTTTTTTTCTCGACTTTGTGCTTAAGATATCTCATGATTGATGTGTGTGGTGTGAAAAGAAATCGACCAAATACTAACAATCAGTTCCAGTTACCTAGAAGAACTTATAGCTTCGCCCTTTCCATATTTGATTTGTGCAGAGGGAATAATGCTTCCTAAAAAAGTTCCTATTTTTTATGATGTGGTCCAACTTCCGAATAAAATAAAGGAAATAAAAATGGTTTTTTTAATAGCGATATATGAATTTTACTAAACAATCCATCACCTATTCATTAAAAGTAGTTCAGATTAGGTATATATTACTTTAGTTTATAAAACAGATATTAATATGACTCATTTCCTGGGAAGTATATACAATTTAAATTACCTCTAAGAATCAGTAAATATATAAAACAAAATGTTAAACTGCAAATATCAAATAAAAAAATCAAGATATTCTGCAAAGTATTTTTGAATTAAGTTTTATTATTATAATTTTATAATTTTTATAATAGAGGCCTTCTTAAGCGACCTCCGTATAGAATAAATGATGTTAAATTTAAAAAAAAATAATAATGAAAAATAAAAACAAAAATAAGAAATTAAAAAAAAATAATTTTTTACAATAAAATTATTGTATTAATATTTGTTCGTTAATATAATCAATAAAATGTAACAAAAACGTTATTATAGCACTATAACTAAGCCATTTATGAGTACTGAATGGTGTGGTAGAGGCCTGTAGCGCTTTTCTGCCGCTTAAGTACATTTTATACGGAACTACTTCAAATATTTTAAAAAGTAATCAGTGTTTTAGAAACAGAAATGTATTCTCCAGATGTTTTATTTCAGCATATTTTGCATTATTGTTGACCGTTTAATTACAAACGACGCTTGATTTTCAATTTGAAAATTTTTTTGTAAAAAAAATTGACTTTACCGATTTTTTTTAATGCCTAAGCCAATTAGTTTTTAATATTTTTTCATGTTTTATTATTCTCTGACTATCCAGCTTTAATAAAAGACCAAGTATGACCAAATTAGGCCAAATGCTGATTATCAGTAAGAAAAAAACTAAGTAAAGTCAAAGTCGTCAATCCGCCATGTTTGGACGCCATTTTGGGGTAGTTCGTTCACTTTTTTTGGGGGAACATTGGCTTTTTTTTAATAATTTGTCACAAGGAACACAACGATATGCAATTTATAGGGATGTGGGGGGGGGGGGGTGCACGGTAAGGGGGTCTGGCCCACCGTGTATTATATTTCTAAGAAAATAGTAACATAATATGAGTTAACTATGGGACTGGGTGAGTAACTTTGGGACAACGGATAAAATTTAGTTTGTGGTGAGTCCTTAGTGGTTACATTGTACTTCCATTGCTTTTTTCCAATTGCTTTGTGTCTCATGAGTAGTGTGCCGCAAGGTAATAGTGCAATACATGCCTACACAAATCACGTTTTTGCAGACTGAACCAACGCAATGTATCCACACAATGTATTCACCACAAACTAAATTTTAAACGCTATCCCAAAGTTACTCACCCAGTCCCATAGTTAACCCATCTTATGTTACTATTTTCTTAGAAATATAACCCTTGCTCCTGCAGTCTTCGAACAACCATAATCCATAGTTATGGAATGGACTTAATCGGTTACAAATAATAATAATAATATTAATTTTAATAATTGAGTTTATTAAATATGCCAATTGGTGAATCCTGTTAAATCCGGCAGTTGTGTTCTTTCTTCTTCCAATAATCCGTGGTACAGACCCCTTTTTATCCAATTATTAACATCCGGCTAAAATTTCGTAAATAGCTTCATCTCATCGTAACCTACAAATATTTTATTTACGAGAATTCTCGGAATTTGGGCGATTTCAATCTGGAGGTAAGAAAACTTTTTCTATTTAATTAGGTACTAAAAACTCGTAAATACCGACTTCCTTTCACATCATACACTTCAATCGTGAGATATCTTAAGCACAAAGTCGAGAAAAAAACGTGTCCTTCAAAAACATTGAGCCATTTGGCGTGGCCCTACATCTCCTAATTGTCAAAATAACCAGGTTATATAGGCCGCTCAATATTTTTGAAGGCCACCTTTTTTCTCGACTTTATGCTTAAGTTGTTTGATGTAAATTGGAGCTCAAGTGGAAGGGAAACGGGTATTTACGATTTTTTAGTACCTAATTAAATTGACAATGGTTTCCGGCCTCCATATTGATAACGCCCCAATTCCGAGAATTTTCGTAAATAAAATATTTGTAGGTTACGATGAGATGAAGCTATTCACGAAGTTTCAGCCGGATGTTAATAATTTGATAAAAAGTGGTCTGTACCACGGACTACAAAGTAATAATCGTTATAAACTCTCGGGCTAAAGTCCCCCCAAAATTAAGTCATCGATCCCGCTACTGTTGGCAACCATAGGACCTAACAGACGTGCGGCAAGAATTACAATCTCTAAAACGGGAAATGTTTGGACTTTGTTTGCGAAATCTGTTTGAAAATATGGATTACTTGAACTATGAAATAGATTGGAAACAAGTATGTAATTATAATGGCACTGTCTGAAAAAGTTAGTTCTCGCAAGTGGATACAGATGGAGTGACAGATCGCTTATTACAATTAGAGAACAAAAACAAGTAGATAATTCATGTTGTCATGTACCTCTTTTAGGTTATTTTGCAAAATGAAAACCTGGTCATAGGTTTTTCGGATGATTCTTAAACTGTTTTTCCTTCAGTGCATTAGTACCAGCAGCCATCAGATGCGTTTCCAGCAGTTTCTTCTTATTTCGTGTCGTTCCTGAAATGGAATCAGAAGGAACTTTCAAAAGAATGAAAAAATATCCCATCGTGAAGAACCGTGGTGTATTGCCCACTATCGAAATGGCAAATAAGGTGGAGGAAAAAAGATGTAACGGTACGGCACAATCGTGGCATTCAGAAGGTAAGTCTATTCGAAAGTTCACGTTATCACACGCTATTCAAAGGAGTTTTTACTTTCACTTACCTATATATGAAATATATAGTAAGGGTATTACGATCGTGAAAATTTTCGAATTTCAGTTTTCAACGGAAATACGTGTTTTGAGGTCTCCTGAGTCCAAATAACCAAGCCCGACATTGTGGTTTGTGTGTATGTCTGTGCGTATATGAACAGTCTAGCTCAAAAACGAAAAGCCGCATGAAACTGATATTACGTATTTAAGATAGATATATGCCTTAGATGTTACAGCAACTTTTTCCTTAAAGTCGGCTAACCGGAAGTGCCACTTCATATCTACGATGAAAAACATTTTTACAATTTTCTCAAAAACGGCTCTAACGATTTTGATTAAACCTGGGTGTATTATTGTATAATTAAGTGGTCTTTAATATAATTTAGGTCTTATCCCCACTGATGTCACTTTACAGGACTTAAACGCCCAATGTTCGTATACATCTTCTTCCAAAGTACCTTAATATGGTATATTTAAAAAAATTTAACTCTCTTTTATTGACAGAAACTATAAAAAATGGCTTGAAAGGATATTCTAGTTGGAAACAGGAGAAAAAAAAATGTGCTCATACAGGTTGAAATTGAATCTCCGGAAATAACAGTCAGAAGGTATACGTATAATATATCGTTGCAAAGCGGAGAATTTAAAAAAAAAATAATATCAAATAAATAATGTTGTAGAAGGTAAAGGGGACCCTACACGGTCAATCGGAATTGCACTAATGACGTTCCGAATTGCCGTGTAAGGTAGTGAATGAAGTACTGATGGTGGTGCGCTGCGGATTTCCGAACATCCGGAAATCAAAGGTTCATTCACGAGAAGTGATAGGTTAGGTTAGGTTTTCTATGAGACTAACCTTACTACTAGATAGGTTAGTTTATCTAAGTCTCGTTATTAAGTAAATAATTTCATAAAAATAAATATTTGTTATTATTAACTATAAGTCTATGTTATTATTAACCATTTTCAACTATTTTTTCTTTAAAAAGTCAAGTAGACAATAAATTGGAGAGAAAAAAAAGTGGAAACTTCACATAAGTAATGATCAGTAATGATTGAACGTGTAAGGGTTTTCATTATCAAAGCGATAGCGGGCAATCTTGGAACTTCTTGTGACGTTCATTCATGAATTACCGTGTAGGGTCCCCTTAACAGAGAATGACGAAAGAAATATTAATAATAATTTCAGAAAACTAACATACGTAAATCACATGTTTCCAATGAAATTTTCTTACTAAATGTAAACTTTTAAAGTTTTTTCTAAGTTTGAAAAAAGTATTTGAAATTTACCGAATCAAGCCAACGCCATTGTTTAAAATTCTATTTCGTTGTATTTGTACAAAAGAAGAAGTGAATTAATTTCATGGACATGTTTATAACCTTAAATACTTTTGCTGTAGTTTAATAACTCTAGGTATGATATTATATTTAAATAATTAGGTATCTATTGGTCGTTTGTTACAAAAAGTTATCAAAATAATCACCTTTTAGGAAATTAAATTAGTGAATAATTTTTTCTTTGTGAAATCCCAACTTTATCCACTTACAATTAGTGAGACAACTTTTGACCTATCCATGGCAAGGCAATGAAAATCTCGTAATTTTATTTTAGTAAACTTCACAATGGAACATAACAGTTTAATAACTAATAGTCTTATAATCCATAATCATTTATAGGTTAAATATTCGGATGTACTTTCAAACCTCTGTAAGCATATGAACCTTTTGGTTGTCAGAATGAGTAACTCCAATTTCAACATTCTTTATTATTAATTTTAGTGGCAAAAATTTAATAAATAATGTGTATAGGTATGTTTTATATAAGGTGTTTGTTTTACTTTTATTTCTATTTTTATTTACTTATGTGTATATATATATATATATATTTTTCTCTTTACTCTTTTGTTCTTTTTCTTATTCTTTTGTTATTACTTTATTTATTTAAATTTTTGTATATACGGTATGAATGCACTCTCTGAACTCTATTATAAGTGTCCGTAAACTGTGACAAATTGTAATATGTCTGAATAAAGTGTTTAATAAAAAAAAAAAAAAAAAAAAGTGGCAAAATTTAAACCTTTATTCGCAATTCTATATTTCAACACTGCAATCACCTACTCTGGAATCAACATACTCACTGTCTGTATAGATATAACTTTTCCAACTAGAAATATCACTAAACTGCATATCGTTGTGTGCCTTGTAACTATTTATTTAAAAAAAGCCAATGTTCCCACAAAAAAAGTGAACGCACTGCCCCAAAATGGGGTCCAAACATGGCGGATTGACGACTTTGACTTTAGTTAGTTTTTTCGTTAATGACAACCAACATTTGGCTTAATTTGGTCATACTTGGTCTTTTATTAAAGCTGGATAGTCAGAGAATAATAAAACATGAAGAAATATTAAAAACTAATTGGCTTCTTAAGTAATAAAAAACATCAGTAAAGCCAATTTAAAAAAAAAATTAAATTATTATTGTATTAATATTTGTTCGTTAATAAAATCAATATAATGTAGCAAAAACGTTATTATATCACTATAACTAAGCCATTTATCAGTACTGAGTGGTGTGGTAGAGGCCTGAAGGTACCTACGCCAGTACCGCTTTTCTGCCGCTTAAGTACATTTTATACGAAATTACTTTAACAAGCAATGAGTGTTTTAGAAAGAGAAATGTATTCTCCAGGTGTTTTATTTCAGCACGTTTTGCGTTATTGTTGGCCGTTTAACTACAAACGGCGCTTCATTTTCAACTTGTAAATTATTTTGTTAAATAAATTGATTTTACTGATGTTTTTTAATATTTTTTCATGTTTTATTATTCTCTGACTATCCAGCTTTAATAAAAGACCAACTATAATGAAATTAAGCCAAATGCTGATTCTCAGTAACAAAAAAACTAACTAAAGTCAAAGTCGTCAATCCGCCATGTTTGGACGCCATTTTGGAGCAGTTCGTTCACTTTTGTTTGTGGGAACATTGGCTTTTTTTTTTAATAAATAGTTACAAGGAACACAACGATATGCAATTTATAGGAATGTGGGGAGGGGAGGGGGTGCACGGTAAGGGGGTTTGGCTAGTGTTGCCAAAAATCGGTCTTGGTCTTGCACTTTGCAAGACCAAGACCAAGGCCGCCGAACTGTTGCAAGACCAAGACCAGGACTGGTAAAAAAAAATCGATGTTTTTAATAAAAAAGTAAGGCAAAATAGTTACTAATACTCGAAAATCTTAGTTATTATATGTAAATGATTGGTATAACCAATATAGTTTTGCATTTAATTCCTCTAATTTTTCATTCAGACTGTTGCGAGACTCTTGTGCAAGACCAAGACCATGACCAAACTGAATTTGCTAGACCAAGAGTCGTCTGGGTCTCGCATTTGGGCAACACTAGGTCTGGCCCACCGTGTATAATGCAAGAGGCATTTCTTTCCTTTCAAGAAGGAGGCCGAAAGACCTGTGCCATAAATAAGTAAACTGTAAGGAAGTATAATTTCAATTACACTGTTCTTTATGAAGAGGAGAGCAATAAAATATCTTGGGAGGGGAGGGAGGGAGGTACATTCTGGAACACACCTGCTCTTGATTGCTCCCAAGATCAGCTATATCATCCGCATATCCAAGGATTTTTATGTATTGTTCTTATCACCTCATCGAATAATATCTAAATATCTTTGCACTAACTTCATTAAATTTTACATTTTCTGTTATTATTTTTAGGAGATTCCTTAAACAACAAGAGGAAAAGTCTGAAATATTGTCATACGAAGTACAAAAAGTTCGAAAAAGGATATACAAGCTCATCGCACAATATCAAGAACCGAAAGTGGCCTTGGTGTAGCCACATACAGCTCCTGAACGATTCCTTGACAAGACTCAAAAACAGGTCTTGCGTTTCTTGTCACGGCCAGACCGCCGGACCTTGTGATCCTCCAACGCACGATGGTGTAAAACAGCCGCTTCCCTTGGAGACTTCGAAACATCTGAAAAGACGGAGGTTTTCCGAAGAAGAGATCTATAATGCGGACTCGATAACCAACTATTTCGATACGAAGAAAGGTCCGGACGACATTGACCACCTCTTCATGAGCTACGCTGCCACGTTTCGGCGCATCTCTCCGAGGCTACAGGCCAAGCTTAAGATAGATTTGGCCAATCTGTTCGCTAGTGCAGAATTGGAAGACATGAATTCCTAATTTTCAACAGCGTGACGTCTTCGTAGCGCCAGTGTGATCGGAAAAAAACTATATAAAATCAAAACGTTGTAAAAATATTAAATAATTTCCAAAAAATCGTTGGAATAATTATTATTGAATACTTTCCGCAAAATATATTTATCAGTTTTATTTACCACGTATTAAATATCAGTTGCTAAGGCTGGCTTCGCACCAATCGAAGAGTTTTCTTGTCTGCCATCTTCCTCAAGTAATTTCCACCTACTAGCATTGTAACCAAGATTAAGGAAGCAGTGAAAAAACAAAACAAACTCTTCTCTCTTTTCTTTCCTATGACTGATTATTAATTGATATTTTAGCATGTGCATGTGCTCTTACATCTTATATCTCTGGTATCTTGACTATCTTTTCTTCATGCTTAGATGTGGCATGCCATACTATTGTATCTTTTTTGTTATTTTTATTATCTTTAATATCTTCCTATTTATCTTTAATTGTATATAGTAATTATATTTAAATTCTCTCTTTTTCCTTGTAAATTATTTTTTTTTTATTGTACATGGTATTAATTCTGTAAATATTTTTTTCTGTAAATAGATCTGTTAACCTTTTTTGCTGCTTTATAAAAATATCCAACCTAACCCCTTCTCACCTGAGTTAGCATGGTAGGATAAATGATTAATGATGGCCAAATAATTGCTAAGTACCTTATGTTTTCCAGATTTATCTCTTTAGAGATGAAAGGTAAGCCAGGCGCCCAATAAAAATTCCTATGGAAAATTATATTTATTAAAAATTATTTTACTATCTTTTTTTGGTCATATAAATAGTGGCGCCCAACGTTTGTTGTGCCCAAAGTTTTGTTTTTTCATTGCTTCCTTAACCTTGGTTACAACCTGTAAAGTGAGTAGTCTTGGGTTGGTTCCTAAACTCATCACTGAGTTCCTCTATGGCTTCGGTTTTCTCTGATATCTATTCCATGGCATCGATGAGCTCAGCGCTGATTTTAACAACTTGCCCTCTCCTAACGGAAGGTATTCCTTGTATCTGTTTAATCTCGAATGGAACAGTTTACTCTAGCTGTTTAATGAAACAGGTGTTTAAATTATTTTTTTTTAAATTTCTTAAAGACATTTACAACTGTATTAAATAAATATATCTAGTAAATTAGAACATAATGTATATAATGACATGAAAAACACTTGCTGAGTAACTACCCAATGGTAGCACTCTAATGATATGTTTACCTTAGGAGATCACGGGGCCATCTTCTTTTCAGACGCCTCGGAGGGTTATCAGGAAATGAAGAGGAAGCAAGGTTAGAAACGAGAGGGTTGGGATGGTTCTGAAGTTTATTATGGAAGGATAGGTATCTGGATTGGGCGAGATCTGAAACAAAAGGAACATTAAGGTGTGTTTAAATTAAACAGATTGCTAGTGAACACCCCACCACTACTATCTGCGAGCTCTAGGTTGGGGACTTTTGCATTAATGTAAACTAGTAAATAATAGTATGGTTTAATTATTTATAAATAAATAACTAAAAAAGATAAAAATCCGGTCTGAGATGATGAATGCAGCTGGATTCCTGTACTCCTGGAACTAGTCTTGCTTCGGCATTCCCTCCCCTCCGGACGGCAAGCCTAACTAACCATGCCAGCTACCGACACGTCCTAATTAGGGGTATTCCTTCTGCTCCGCCACTTCTGTACAGCCGGGGCTCCTCATCTGCATAACTCCTTCCGCCGCTCCAAACGATCCATTTTCCCAGGAGTTTTAACTCGTCCGGTTTTTTTTTCGTTCTTTGAAAAGACAGTCCTTTGTATCCGTCTTTTATGGCCCTTTTGTGTTGTGAAACTGTCGAAGGGAAAATAATAAATTGGGGGAATCGGCCGTCGTGTACAGCAAAACGAGTTTGACTCCAAATCTATAAAGCTATGTACAATAGGAAATCGACAGGAGGAAGTGATAACGTATCCAGGATTTAATTTTGGGGGGGGGTTCAGCCCGAAAGATTTTTTTTTATGAATATATTACGATAATTACTTCGGAAGAAAGAAAGAAACTAAGTACCTATAATGAAATGGTCTTTAAATGATCCTTTTAAGTCCTATTAAATGTAACTAGAGGAACAATAATGCTTTTAGACATTATTTGTTTTCATAAAACATGGTTATATTTTACCATTTTGGAGGGAGCTTCAATTTATATATTTATATATGAATAAATAATAATTATTATTATTGTTATTATCGAAAATGACGGAAAGCATCACCGATTCAGGTTTGTTGACTTTTCTTCCTCCCACAGGCGGATCTACGGGGAGGAGGAGGAAGGCTTTCCGATTGAAGCTCCCTCCAAAATGGTAAAATATAACAATGTTTTATGAAAAAAAATTATGTCTAAAAGCATTATTGTTGGTCTAATTACATTTAATAGGACTTAAAGGATCATTTAAAGACCATTTCATATAGGCACTTAGTTTATTTCTTATATATATATATATATATATATATATATATATATATATATATATATATATATATATATATATGTATATATATGCCTTCGTAAGATTTGTCACAGGGGCCCTGAGGTATTCCCGTGTTTCGCACCACTATGCTGAATTAGGATGGCTCTTCCCTTCCTTCCGAAGACAATATTTCCTAGGCACATTCCTTTACCAAATAATCAATAGTCATCGTCCGTCCTACGCATACAATCTCCTACAATTCAAATCATCTATCCACACCCTCTCCACAAGATCTCGTCCTTCTGACCTTTACACTCCTTTCCACAGATCTGCATCATTTAAACATTCCTTCGTTGTCCGTTCCACTGCATTCTGGAATTCCATCCCACTAAAAATCCGCCATGCATCATCCTTATCCACCTTTAAAACCCTCTTATTCCAATTCCTCTTCACAATCCAATCATACGCTGGTTAAATACATACTATGTTATAAGGATTTAATTTTCTTTAGACATTATTTTTTTTCTTTTATTTTTTATTGTTTTATTCTGTGTTTAACGTGAATTTTCCTCACCACTCACTAAGCATTGTGAGTAGATAAAATTTGTTTTCCTTAAGTTCTAATTTGTTATTCATGGAATGTATTTCAGTGAAATGTATTTTATTTCTAATTATCTTCAACATACTTTTCGCTATGTGTATATATATACTTTATTTTATTTTCTCTTCTCCTAATCTTTATACATAATCACTTAAATATCTTAGGGAACATATGTATATCATTATTTGTTTTTTTATATATTTTTTTGTTTTAGTTTTTACAATTTCTTTCCCTACATATTAACAGTTATTATTACTTTTTTTAAATTTTGATATTCCATCACTACAATGCTTTACCTATAAAATAGATTTTACTTTCCTTTATAATTTCAGTCAGTGATTATTATGCAATTATTTTAGCTTCAATATTGCAGTACTGAATCCCTATTACCAAACTGTCGGCCATCTTCTTTTCAGACGCCTCGGAGGGTTATCAGGAATTGAAGAGGAAGCAAGTTTAGAAACGAGAGGGTTGGGATGATTCTGAAGTTTATTATGGAAGAATAGGTATCTGGATTGGGCCAGATCTGAAACATATGGAACATTAAGATCTTTATGGATAATTTTATTAGTGACAAAGTAAGGAGCATTGAGGATTTTACGGAGGATTTTGGATTGTAATGATTGGATGCGAAAGGAATTCGATGGTTTAGTGGAGCCCCATAGCTCAACTCCGTAAGTCCAAATAGGTCTTATTATAGTCAAGTATATGAGTCTTTTGTAATTAATGGGAAGTTTGGAGCGTTGTGTCTAGTAAGTGCTGAAGTAATCGGAAACGTAGCGGTTTCTTGTCGTTTCAGTCTAGTATGAGGATTCCAAGTTAGTCGTTTGTCCAGGTGGAGTCCTAGGTATCGGATTTGCTCAACAGGGATAAGTGGAGTATTGTTAAAGGAAACTGTAGGACAGGAAGTCGTTGGTTTACCATTTGAAATATAAATTATAAATAATAGCTCAATATAAAGAGGATGAAATGCTGAACATTTCTCTCGCTTACATTATACAGGTTCGAATTTTAGTTTATGAGATATTTTAATCCATATATTCAAAAAAACTGACTACCAATTTGGTTTGCAACACCATTTTTTTCCCTTTTCGACTCTCCAACACAGCGTCGCATTAAGATAGTGTTGAATAACAGAACATTTCAAATATGATGAAATGCTAAACAATTCACTCACGTACAGTATGAATTCCCGAAATTTAGTTTCTGAGATTTTAATCCATATATTCAATAAAACTCTTTATCATTAGGTTTTCTACACAATTTTTTCCCTTTTTCTTTCACTAACATGTCGTCTCGTTAAGATACAATTTTCGATAATAGCTCATTACAAAGAGGATGAAATGATGAACATTTCCCTTGCTTACAATACGATTTTTAGTTTTTGAGATATTTTAATCGATATGCAAAAACATTTCTAACAGTCGACTCCAGCTGACTTTACCGTAGTGTTACATATCGGAGATCTGACGGCTCAATCTATTTCACTTAAAAATTTTTACATATGTATATAATAAAAAATGTATTAATGAATGAATTTTTTATTGAGTATTTATACAACAGCAAACAATAAAAGTATCCAACCTCAATAAAAATATTTACGGCTTGGTTCTTCAAACTGGCCTTGGCAAAACAAGTATTATTGATACAATAATATCAACTAAAACCTACTATGTTAATGTTAATAAATACAATGTTAATGCTAATAAATACAGAAATACAATGTATCAAATCTTAATATCACAAATATAATTACATAAATATTTTTTCCGGCTTAAACATTATTCATCTAATAATTAAATTCTTGGCATAAGCCATGTCTGTATATAAGCCAGGCTACTTTACAATAATTGGATAGACTTGCCCAATTTTTTCTAATTAAATGTGCAATTATTTTCCCAAACGCCAGACTATCTTTTCCAAAATATATTTTCTCCTAAGTTCCGCCAGAACAGGACATACACCAAGGAAATGCACGATATTTTCTATTTCGTTCCTATTTCATAATGAACATAATTTATTATTTGTTTCATAATAGACCCTACAGTTTAATTGTATTAGTTCTCCTCTGGCCTT